GAATGAATGAATGATCACTTTCAGTCCGAAGGCCTGAACCACGCACTTTGTTGAACCGAACGCCCGAGATGCGAGAAATCACCCCATCGGCCGTCCTGCATTACTTTATTCAGAAACCGTCCAAAGTTTCACCTTGATTGGCGCCTTCTGCGTTGACGGTTGGCTGTGTCGGTGACCGGCACTCTCAAGCACGAAACACGAGCATGCAACAGGTGCTGCCGAGACCAAATTGCTCCGATCTCGACCGATTTGTACCTAAACGGTGCCTATCCTCCACCAAATCGAAGCCCCGGCTCATCAACAGCTGGATTGACAAGTCCTTCGACGCTGGAATAGCTGTTTACCTTCCAATTTTGCCTGCCAACGAGAGGTCCGGGTCACGCCGCTGCATCCTCCCGACGAAGTAGTATGTTCCCCGGAAAACGAAACTTTTAAACTATTTTTCGCGCGCGCAATTATTCTTTTTTTTGCCTTCACTTCAAATCAGCGCTCACAGCACTACATGTAATGCCGTTTACTCCAACCCGTAATATTGCGGAACAAATACGTGACCAATCCATTGCAGTTTATCCTTATCTCGACGTGTGTGCCCCGCGATAGACTATTCGCCGCGTTTCGAGGGACACATTAACCGTTCCATCAGACACTGTCGCTGTTGCCCTACTAGGGCAAGATCAGTAAATGCATAATGCCAGTCGCGCCGGATTCCACGCCCGGAATCTATATCTACAACGTGGGCAGCGTGCTATCATATTCTGCCTGCATGAAGTACCAAGATCATAACCCTGTTTCCAACAACGCCCTATCCCAACTCTTGGTAAGCAATAATAGCGTAAGACTATCCTGAGGAGTTGGTCCAAAGAACTACCATGCGGCTGCACTACTGTCTGTTCTTCAAACAAACAGACAAACATCGAAATCGCCCCCCCTTCGCTGACGTAACACAGCGCAGCGGGGCATAAGGCAATGTTCACAGAACACGGCGATATGGCTGTGTGCCCACAGCCGTGACGGGAGGGGCGCGGAAGGGCAACAATCAATGCAGCCCCATAGCGCGTCGGGAGGGTGTGGGGGCGAGGCAAACATTAGCCCCGTGGCGCGTCGGACGGGGTGCGAAGGAAAAAAAAAAAAATCAAAGGCCCCATGGCGCGTCGAACGGGGCGCGAGGGGGGAAAAACTAAGACCCCATGGCGCGCCGGATGGGGCGCGAAGGTGGGGTGTACTCATAGTCGTGCATGCCGTAGTCGTTAGACCATTGACCTCGCATCCCTACAAAGCCGGAACGGAGCACGCCGGGTTCTCACCGGACCAGGCCCTCACATCACCAAGCGCGAAGCGCCGTGAGATATTCGGCGAGTCGCATGAAGGGTGCGCTGCATCCTGCTAAGGGTTTTCGGCATCTTGTGCTT